TACTCAGGAAGAAAAGGCACTCCCAGGACATAAGCCTATGAAAGACAGGCTGACATTAATGTCGTGTAGTAATACTAGTGGTGATTGCAAAGTGAATCCTTTATTGGTGTATCACTCTGAAACTCCCAGAGTGTTCAGAAAAAACAATATCGTCAAGGGTAATTTGTGTGAGCTGTGGAGATCAAACAGTAAGGCACAGGTCACTAGGGTATTTTTCTTGGACTGGTTTTATGGTGTGTTTGGCCCCACTGTGGCAAAACACTTCCAGAAAAAGAAATAGCCACTTAAGTGCCTCCTGGTAATGGACAATGCTCCTGCTCATCCTCACGACTTGCAAGAGGAAATTGCAGGGGAGTTTAGCTTCGTTAAGGTGAAGTTTTTGCCTCCTAATACAACTCCTCTCCTCCAGCCCATGGACCAGCAGGTCATTTCAAACTTCAAAAAACTACACAAAAGCAGTGTTGCAAAAGTGCTTTGAAGTGACCTCAGACACTCAGTTGACTCTAAGAGATTTTGGAAAGATCACTTCAATATCCTCAGTTGTGTAAAGCTTATAGGGAAGGCTTGGGAGTGAGTGACTAAGAGGACCTTGAACTCTGCTTGGAGGAAACTGTGGCCAGAATGTGTACAAGAGAGGGATTTTGAAGGGTCTGGGGCTAAGCCTCAGGAGGCTATGCCAGTAGTGGAAGCTATTGTGTCATTGAGGAAGTCCTTGGGGTTCGAGGTTTGTGGCGAGAGTGTGGAAGAGTTGGTGCAGAACGACGAGGAGAATTAACCACTACAGACCTGCAAGAGCTTCAGGAGCAACAGCAACAGATCACATCTCAGGAATGTTCTTCAGAGCAGAATGAAGAGAGACGGAGGAAGATGACTTCATCAAGGATTAGGGAAATGTGTTCAATGTTTACAAAGGTGCAAGCATTTATAGAAGAATTTTATCCTGTCACTGAAGTTGCAAGCTGCACTGGCAACATGTACAATGACACTTGTGTCCCATTTTAGGGACATCCTAAGGGCATGTGAGAAACAGAGCTCTCTGGACAGATTTATGGTGTGACAGGGGTCCAGTGACTCTCAAGCTGGTCCTAGTGGCATTAAAAAACCAAGAAGGAGGTAACCCCACCAAAGGGCTTATTACCTCAAGTCTTTATGGAAGAGGATTCCCCTTCCAAACAATAGAACACCTGCATCATCTTCCTTCCTACCATCTCATCACTCATCAGCAACTCCAAAATAAAGGTAAGTGGCATTTAATTATTGTTTATTTTGCATGTCCCATTTATTTTTGTGCAGGGAAATGTATATTTCATGTAAAAAAAAATTTTTTTGTTTAATACTTTTGAGTGCCTGGAACGGATTAATTCTATTTCCATTACTATTTCTTATGGGGAAAACTAATTCGACTAACGGCTAGCTCTCTGGAACGGATTAATGTGTTGGTCGAGGGTCCACTGTACCTTGAAATTGAGCTCAAAGTTGCGGAAATGTTCAATTTTTGCTGATGTTCAAGAGTAAACAAGTGATGTCACCGTCCAATACGTGTCCAACTGGCCAGTCTAATACGCAGTCATGAATGGGTTGACATTATTTATACAATTATTACAATAATGCAGTAGTCTGCATAACAGTAAATCTTCTATTTTTTTGTGAGAATAAAAATTCAATATGGAAAGCAAGAGTAATATAAGAGGGACCTGGAGATGTGACTGATGAACAGAGAAAATGTTATTTTAGTGCTAGGAATGTCTGCACTGTTTATTCTGGACATTATTTTGAAATTGGCATCACTAATAATAATAATATCTTTATTTACTACAAGTACATGTACAAGGTATACAGTCCTAGCTGACAACAATGACATACTACTATATAGAAAGCCCCTTGTTATGCTGAGTATGTCGGGCAAATTAGGTCAGTGTCCCAGGATGCGACCCACACCATCGCCGTGTGAAGCGAGAGCGTTAGCCACCAGGCCACCAGAGCCCCAAATTTGTGTGAAATTGGCCAAATTACCAATTTCTGACCACTTTATTGGGTAGTTGAAATCGATAAATGGGCGGTTTCTTGTACTCAGTCAATAGAACAAATGGAGTTCTAGTGAAATAACTATGAGTTTGGTCGACTGGAACAATGGAATTGGCCAAAAATAGGGTTCAAAGTGGGCGAAATTGCCGATGTGTATACGTATATCGCCGAGATCACTAACTTAGTGAGTGTAATTCCGTAAGTTTTCCATCAAATTTCATACTTTTGGTGTCATGACCATCGGGAAAAGATTCTCTATCATTTTGTAAAAAAAAAAAAAAAAATTTTTTTTTTTTTTTAAATTCTTCAACACTGAGAGCAAGTTTGTGAGCAGCAATCTCAACAGTCAATGGGTTAAACATGATTTTTTTTGAATTTTTCATAAAATTTGCCAAATTACCAAGTTCTGGCCACTTAATAAAGCAGCTGAAATAGTTGAATGGGCAATTTATTCTGCTTAATCCATAGAACTGAAGACATACTGCAGAAATAGCTAAGAATCTGATGAATTTTTTTTACTGTATATAGTGGAACTTTATAAGAGAACTGACTGTATACAGTGGACCCCCGCATAGCGAACTTAATCCGTGCAAGAGGGCTGGCCGTTATGCGAAATGTTCGCTATGCGAATTAATTTTCCCCATAAGAAATAATGGAAATAAAATTAATCCGTGCAAGACACCCAAAAGTATGAAAAAAAAATTTTTTTACCACAAAAAAATGTTAATTTTAGTACACACAAACTGAAAAAGGCATGCACAATTACATGACACTTACTTTTATTGAAGATCTGGTGATGATTGATGGGATGGGAGGAGGGGAGAGAGAGTGTTAGTGTTTAGAAGGGGAATCCCCTTCCATTAGGACTTGAGGTAGCAAGTCCTTTTCTGGGGTTACTTCCCCTTTTTCTTTTAATGCCACTAGGACCAGCTTCAGAGTCACTGGACTTTCTTTCGCACAACATATCTGTCCATAGTGGCCTGTACCTCTCATTCCTTTATGATTTGTCTAAAGTGGTTCACAACAGTGTCATTGTAACAGTCACCAGACGGCTTGCAATAGCTGTGTGAGGGTGATTTTCATCAAAAAAAGGTTTGCCCCTTCAAGCCTTTGCCACCTTTTCCCTTTAAATCTTTGAAGTAGGCAATTCCTTCAATTTTCTCTCCCCCCTTTGAACCGTTTCCCCAGGTCTGGCCTTTGCTCTTGAAGTTGATCTATCAGTCATCAGTGGTTAGTTTTCATTGTCCTCCCCACCAACTCTTCCAATCCCCCCCAACTAACCCTCCACCCCAAGGACTTCCCAATTCCACAATTGATTCTCAACTGGTATACTATTTCCTCTCAGGGTTACCCTCAAACCCTTCAAATCCCTTTTGTTACACATTCTGGCCACAGTTTCTTCCAAGCAGATTTTAAAGGGTTTTTAGTCACCCCCCTCCCAAGTCTTCCCTATAAGGTTTACACAATTTGAGGATATTAAAGTGATCCTTCAAAACTCTTTGAGTCAACGAGTGTCTGTGGTCACTTCAAAACACTTTTGAAACAGAGCTTTTGTGTACAGTTTCTTGAGTGGAAATGACCTGCTGGTCATGGGCTGCGGGAGGGAGTGGTTTGGGAGGCAAAAATTCACCTTAATGAAGTCATGTCCCAATAAAGTCGCTCTGCCACGTCTGTGGGAAATGACCAAGGGGCATTGTCTAACCCCCAGGAGGCACTTAAGGTCTAATTTCTTTTCAGTTAGGTAATTTCTTTCACATTGGGGGAAAAATGCATGGTGTAACCAGTTATAGAAAAATTCCTAGTGCCCCATGCCTTACTGTTTGCCCTCACAGCCACACACAAAAATTTTCCTTGAGGACATTCTTTTGCCTGAACGCTCTGGGGGGTTTCAGAGTGATACACTAATAAAGGTTAACTTTGCAATCACCACTAGCATTGGCACACATCAAAAAGTAAGCCCGTCTTTATAGGCTTATGTCTGGGAGTGCCTTTTCCTCCTGAGTAATGTAGGTCTGCTTGGGATTTTTTCCAGAACAGGCTGTTTATCTACAATTTAAAAACTTGTTCCAAGGTTCCAGTCCTTCAGTTTCTATGTACTCCTTGAATTCATGACTATTTTTCAGCCGCTTTGTGGTCCGAATGGCGCCTCACCATGCCGTATCACATATGGATGCCCCTTACGCTCCTTAAATCTCCAAACCAACCTTTGTGGCCTTAAATTTTACTCACATATCACTAGTTGCAGGCATTTTTTTAATTAAATCGTTTATGCAACTTCCTAGGGCCCTTTTTACATATGATCGTTTTAGAGACGCTATCTCCTGCTAGCTGTTTTTATTTATCCACACCAATAAGAGTCTCTCAACATCTTCCATCACTTGCGATCTTTGTTTCGAAAACACAGTTAAACCTTTGCAACAACAGCTTCCTTGATTGCCGTTTTCTTGCCACAATAGAAGAGATGGTTTTATTTTGGTTTCTTGTACAACCTGACCAGGTCGGTGATACGTACTCCACTTTATACTTATCAATGATTTTCTTTCTTCATTTCAATGGGTTTTTCTTACCCTTTGAGGTTTGTAGGGTTGGCACTAGAAGCTTTCTTGGGGCCCCTGGTCACTTATTTTCCGAAAAAGCACCCAAACACTGTAATAATACGAAATATTCCGAGTGTATGCTTGAATGTTACCGCGGAGGCTGGCTGGTAAACAATGGCACGGGCGGCACATGTGAGGCTGGCTGAGGGCGCACATTGGACGCGTCTCGGACGAAGGCCGCTGAGCGGGTTTTTGTCCACTATGCGGGGCAAAATTTTAGCGAACAAAGCGTCCGCTATGCGGATTGTTCGCTATGCAAGGCGTTCGCTATGCGGGGGTCCACTGTATAGTGGAACTTTATAAGAGAACTGACTGTATATAGTGGAACTTTATAAGAGAAATACGTATTATAATAATAGTAACAATAATAATTTCCAGCAGTGATGGAGGTAGCAGAGAAAGTTCTGATCAGGGAAGTTCTCTTTATATTCCAAGGCATCGAAGGCAGCATCATCAAGTTTGATGCTAGCAAGGACACATACAGGATCGATAACAAGGTGAGAGTGTTTGGTAGTTCTTATATCCCCACCTGCTTTTAGCATTTCTGTCTTTATCCCATCAATCCCGGCTGCCTTACCCCCTTTCATTTTACCTACTGCCTCACGAACTTCCCCCACACTCACAACTGGCTCTTCCTCACTCCTACAAGATGTTATTCGTTTTTGCCGTATACATGAAATCACAGCTGCCCTATCTTCATCAACATTTAACAATTCCTCAAAATATTCCCTCCATCTTCCCAATACCTCTAACTCTCCATCTAACAAATCTCCTCTCATATTTTTAACTGTCAAATCCATTCATTTTTTAGGCTTTCTGAACTTGTTAATCTCACTCCAAAACTTTTTCTTATTCTCAGCAAAATTTGTTAATAACATATCACCCTCTCTCTCATTTGCTCTCTTTTTACATTGCTTCACCACTCTCTTAACCTCTCTCTTTTTCTCCATATACTCTTCCCTCCTTGCATCACTTCTACTTTGTAAAAACTTCTCATATGCTAACTTTTTCTCCCTTACTACTCTCTTCACATCATCATTCCACCAATCGCTCCTCTTCCCTCCCGCACCCACCTTCCTGTAACCACAAACTTCTGCTGAACACTCTAACACTACATTTTTAAACCTACCCATACCTCTTCGACCCCATTGCCTATGCTCTCATTAGCCCATCTATCCTCCAATAGCTGTTTATATCTTACCCTAACTGCCTCCTCTTTTAGTTTATAAACCTTCACCTCTCTCTTCCCTGATGCTTCTATTCTCCTTGTATCCCATCTACCTTTTACTCTCGGTGTAGCTACAACTAGAAAGTGATCTGATATATCTGTGGCCCCTCTATAAACATGTACATCCTGAAGTCTACTCAACAGTCTTTTATCTACCAATACATAATCCAACAAACTACTGTCATTTCGCCCTACAACATATCTTGTATACTTATTTATTTATCCGTTGTTTCTTAAAGTATGTAATACCTATAACCAAACCCTTGTAGGTTTGGTACTTCTTGTTTATTATAATAATAATAATAATTATAATAATAATAATTATAATAATAATTATAATAATAATAATAATAATAATAATAATAATAATACCCAAACTTCCATGGGGAAGTGGAACAGAATTCTTCCTCCGTAAGCCATGCGTGTTGTATGAGGCGACTAAAATGCCGGGAGCAAGGGGCTAGTAACCCCTTCTCCTGTATATATTACTAAATTTAAAAAGAGAAACTTTTGTTTTTCTTTTTGGGCCACCCTGCCTTGGTGGGATACGGCCGGTGCGTTTAAAGAAAGAATAATAACCAAACCCCTGTCTATACAAAGTTCAATCAAAGGGCTCCCATTATCATTTACACCTGGCACCCCAAACTTACCTACCACACCCTCTCTAATCCTTTCTCCCACTTTAGCATTTAGGTCCCCTACCACAGTTACTCTCACTTGGTTCAAAGGCTCCTATACATTCACTTAACATCTCCCAAAAATCTCTCTCTCCTCTACATTCCTCTCTTCTCCAGGTGCATACACACTTATTACGACCCACTTTTTGCATCCAACCCTTATTTTAATTCACATAATCCTTAAATTTATACATTTATATTCCCTCTTCTCCTTCCATAACTGATCCTTCAACATTACTGCTACCCCTTCCTTAGCTCTAACTCTCTCAGATACTCCTGACTTAATCCCATTTATTTCCCCCCACTGAAACTTCCCTACCCCCTTCAGCTTTCTTTCACTTAATAATAATAATAATAATAATAATAATAATAATAATAATAATAATAAATTATTTCAGCATAATACAGGAGGGGCCTCTCTTATACAGCAGGTTAGGTCTGGGCTACTGTAGGGACCTGCTTATACAGCAGGTTATGTTCTGGGCTACTGTAGGGACCTGCTTATACAGCAGGTTAGGTTCTGGGCTACTGTAGGGACCTGCTTATACAGCAGGTTAGGTTCTGGGCTACTGTAGGGACCTGCTTATACAGCAGGTTAGGTTCTGGGCTACTGTAGGGACCTGCTTATACAGCAGGTTAGGTTCTGGGCTACTGTAGGGACCTGCTTATACAGCAGGTTATGTTCTGGGCTACTGTAGGGACCTGCTTATACAGCAGGTTAGGTTCTGGGCTACTGTAGGGACCTGCTTATACAGCAGGTTAGGTTCTGGGCTACTGTAGGGACCTGCTTATACAGCAGGTTAGGTTCTGGGCTACTGTAAGGACCTGCTTATACAGCAGGTTAGGTTCTGGGCTACTGTAAGGACCTGCTTATACAGCAGGTTAGGTTCTGGGCTACTGTAAGGACCTGCTTATACAGCAGGTTATGTTCTGGGCTACTGTAGGGCATTGTAAAGTGAGGCACTTTTAAAGCAGGGCACTGTAAAGTGAAGCACTTTTAAAGCAGGGCACTGTAAAGTGAAGCACTTTTAAAGCAGGGCACTGTAAAGTGAAGCACTTTTAAAGCAGGGCACTGTAAAGTGAAGCACTTTTAAAGCAGGGCACTGTAAAGTGAGGCACTTTTAAAGCAGGGCACTGTAAAGTGAAGCACTTTTAAAGCAGGGCACTGTAAAGTGAAGCACTTGTAAAGCAGGGCACTGTAAAGTGAAGCACTTGTAAAGCAGGGCACTGTAAAGTGAAGCACTTTTAAAGCAGGGCACTGTAAAGTGAAGCACTTGTAAAGCAGGGCACTGTAAAGTGAAGCACTTGTAAAGCAGGGCACTGTAAAGTGAAGCACTTGTAAAGCAGGGCACTGTAAAGTGAAGCACTTGTTTGGCAGACAGCAGTAGCACTGTAAGCGGCCATCAACGACACGGCATCAAGAGCTGAGCTCTTCTCCAGGCTGAGGGACTGACCACCTCAAGTACTTCATTACTACTGCTGCCTCTGTATTTGACTGAAGAAGACCATTACTCATGTCAGGCAAAAAAACTCCCTTGTTGTCATAATTTACTTCAGCAACTTGCTGAAGTATGACAGTGTGTGGGCTCCACTTTACAGCACTTTGCTTTATAACACCTCACTTTACAGCACTTTGCTTTATAACACCTCACTTTACAGCACTTTACTTTATAACACCTCACTTTACAGCACTTTGCTTTATAACACCTCACTTTACAGCACTTTACTTTATAACACCTCACTTTACAGCACTTTACTTTACAACACCTCACTTTACAGCACTTGCTTTATAACACCTCACTTTACAGCACTTTACTTTATAACACCTCACTTTACAGCACTTTACAACACCTCACTTTACAGCACTTTACTTTACAACACCTCACTTTACAGCACTTTGCTTTATAACACCTCACTTTACAGCACTTTGCTTTATAACACCTCACTTTACAGCTCTTTGCTTTACAACACCTCACTTTACAGCACTTTACAACACCTCACTTTACAGCACTTTACTTTATAACACCTCACTTTACAGCACTTTACAACACCTCACTTTACAGCACTTTGCTTTATAAACACCTCACTTACAGCACTTTACTTTATAACACTCACTTTACAGCACTTTACAACACCTCACTTTACAGCACTTTACTTTATAACACCTCACTTTACAGCACTTTGCTTTATAACACCTCACTTTACAGCACTTTACAACACCTCACTTTACAGCACTTTGCTTTACAACACCTCACTTTACAGCACTTTGCTTTACAACACCTCACTTTACAGCACTTTGCTTTACAACACCTCACTTTACAGCACTAGGTTACACATATGTACATACATGTCGCTCTTTCAGGTGCGTCTGTCAGCCAGCCAGAAGGAGCTGATCTTAAAGCTGTCAGATGTGGGTTGGCTGTACAACAAGGTGCAGAGTTTCTGCGAGTGGGGTGGCAGTGTTGCCGGCAGTGAGCGCACTGCTGGCAGGAGCACCGCCGGCCTGGTCAACCAGTCACTGGTGCTGGCATTGAGGGAGGAACTCACCGAGTACTGTCGTCTGATAGCACTGCTGGAGGCTCAGGTGACCGTCACTGTTGGTGTCAGTGATAGCTATTTCTAGCAGTAATAATAGCACTGCTAGAACATTACTATCACTGCTAGACCACCAGAACTTTCTAGCAGTGATAAAGCACTGCTAGATTACCACAACTATTTCTAGCAGTGATAATAGCACTGTTAGATTACCACAACTATTTCTAGCAGTGATAATAGCACTGCTAGACTACCACAACTATTTTTAGCAGTGATAATATCACTGCTAGACTACCACAACTATTTTTAGCAGTGATAATAGCACTGCTAGACTACCACATCTATTTCTAGCATTGATAATAGCACTAGCAGTACTATCACTGGCAGTACTAGTACACTAGCACTAGCAGTACAAGTAGTGCTAGTAGAACTAACAGTACTAGTGGCACTACCAGTACTAGTATCACTACTAGATGACTATAACTAGCAATATTACTGTGTCTTAACTATTATCATTATACAGATACAAGAGGGCGGTGACACGCCGCTATGCGAGGCGTCAAGTGGTCTAACACTGCGGCGACTGGTCATGTGGACACTGGAGCCCCGGGCACGCCTCCTAGCACTGGTTTACCTCACACATGCCGCACGCCAGGTCTACGGCGGTGCTTGCGTCTCTGCTATATACCAGGTTAGTTGCCATGAATGGCAATGTGGAAAGTTGGCATTTGGGAAAGTGGTATGTGTCGTAGTATGTTGTTTGTGTGATGTGTGTTAACCTGATGGCTGTCTGTCAGGACGGTGCTATCATCAGGATATGGTGCCCTGATGGATGTCTGTCAGGACACTGTGTCATGACTGCTGTCGTCAGGACACTGCCGTGACTGCTGTCTGTCATCAGGACACAGTGTTCTGGTGGCTGTCTGTCAAGACACGGTGCCATGACAGCTTTTTGTCAACAATAGGACGCTCTGATGGCTCTCTGCCATCAGGGCACGGTACCGTGACTGCTGTCAGGACATGGTGCCCTGATGGCTGTCTGTTGTCAGGACACAGTGCCTTGGTGGCTGTCTGCTATCAGGACACAGTGTACTAACCTGTCAGCCATCAGTGTACAGGAGTACCAGTCTAACACTTTCACCACCACCAGCACATGCAGCACGGCAACCCGGGTCACCGTGCGGTGGTACGCCATGTGTTGACACTAGCGTGTACACCAGTGTATGTCATGTTGACGCAGTGGTTGCTGGATGGCACACTGGACGACCCGCACCATGAGTTCTTCATCGCTAGTGACCCAACCGTTCCCGACGACAAGCTCTGGCAGGATAAATATTCTATAAGGTATGTTGACCTCTGGCTCTTGTCACCTGCAGTATACTCACTACCACTGTATACAATCACTTCTGTATATAGAGGAACTTTATGAGAGAACTGTCGTAATGTACCATACTAACCATAATGTACTACTGCACTTACCATAATGTACTACTGCACTTACCATAATGTACTACTGTACTTACCATAATGTACTACTGTACTTACCATAATGTACTACTGTCATCACAATAATGTTGATGAACTATGAAGCACATTAACAGGTGGTCAATGTTGCCGTCGTTCATCAACAAGTGCCAAGCAGAGAAAGTACTAGCGTCTGGCAAGTCCCTCAACTTCCTGCGCAATGTATGTCACTTCCGGGCACCGATAGCCGGGCGCGACGCCATCAAGACGGCATTGCAGCAGACCACAGGTCAGTGACATCAACCACAGTTAACCCCCTCGAGGTTGATGCTGTAAAACTACACCGTGACCTCAGATAAGCTGTGAGTGGTAAATTTGTGCTTCAATATGAGAGACTGAGTCTGTGTGGTGAGTGTGCAACATAAAAAAAATCCTGCAGCAGTACATGATGGGAAACATAAAAACTGACGGTATGTGGTTTAAAACAGCAACTTTGCGATGTTTTTTCATATGGTTTTTATGGTTGTATTCTTGGTTTCTTGGTCTCATTTGATGGAATGGAAGATATATTTACAGAAATTGAGATAATTTTGATTGGTTCCAGGACTGAAAGTAGATTAATATTGAGCTTAAAATAGTGGAAATATTAAATTTTTGCCTATTTTCCAGAGTACAAAATCACGTCACTCATCCAACTGGTCAGTCTAATACATATTCACAAATGCACGGATGTTATTTATACAATTACAGCCTCAACTCACTTAATGACAGATTTTGGGGTTCCCTTTAAGCCCACGTTGGAAAAACAAATTGTGGCTAAATGAGGATCATACTATAATGGTGGGTTATGTCAACCATATGTCGCCTTTGCATCATTTATAACATTTCTGGTATATTTTTAGATGTTTATACAGTAGTGTACTGTATATTGAAATAAACAGAATAAAGGAAACACTTAATATTTTTAATTATACATTATTTGGTTTAAAAAACACTGGTCAGAGGGGCCCGTGTAAGTCCAAGGCGTCGGAAACGAGTATGGGTTTTTCCCCAAGTGAGGAGAGGGCTGTAATTTCAGTAATGCGTTGTATGCATAACAAAAAATCTTGTTTTTTTGTGTGAATAAAAAAATTAAAAATTTAAAATTTTTTTTTACATGAGACTTGATAATGAAAAAAGAGAAAATGTTGTTTTAGTGTACCCAAAGTTTAAATTTTTTATTATGGACTCCCATTTTTTTTAAAAAATTAGCATTTTTTTGCTGGTGTGAAAATTTGGGCCAAAATTTCCCGAATTTTACCACTGTTTCAGTGGACCTCCGATACCCATGGGCCTCACATAACGATTAATCCGCATACCGCTTGCCCTTTTAAACGCAAAAAATTTTGCCTGCCCCCCCCCAAAAACCCCCCCCCCCCCCCCCCCCCCCCCCCCCCCCCCCCCCCCCCCCCCCCCCCCCCCCCCCCTCCGCTTAAAAAAAGCTCAACCGAAAATTTTTGTTAAGGTTTTCGGGGTTTTTTTGGTAAAAACCCCCTGGGCCCCGGGGCTTTGTTTAAACCCCAGCCTCCCCGGGGGAAAACCAAAGAATGGAAAAAAATTTGTATTAAAAGTGGGGGGTTTTCGGGTTGGGGGTTTTTCTAAAAAACAAACCCTGGGGCCCCAAAATTTGGGGGAACCCCCCCCGGGTGGGTAGAGTTCCGGTGGAAAAAACATTGATTGGTTGAAAGTTTTTGGTGTGGCTGTCTCGGCTGGCATTGTATTTCCCCTTACCACCCTACTTTGGTGGTACAGTTTCGCTGCTGCTGTTTTTAGCATCGTCTTGCTGCTGTGCTGCCCGTAGCATGTTGCTGCTGCTGTTTAAAATGTCTGTTGCTGCTGTTGCATCGGGCTGGTGCTTTCTGTAGATCGACTTTTTTTGCTGCTGTACCACCGTCAGCTGCTGCTGCTGCTGTAGCATCGTCTGCTGCTCTGCTGCTGTGTAGCATCGTCTGCTGCGCTGTGCTGCTGTAGCATCGTCTGCTCTGCTGTAACATGTCTGTTGCTGCTGTGCATCGTGCTGCTGCTGTAGCATCGTCTGTTGCTGCTGTACCACCGTCAGCTGCTGCTGCTGCTGTAGCATCATCTGCTACTGCTGTAGCATCGTCTGCTGCTGCTGTAGCATCGTCTGTTGCTGCATGTACCACCGTCAGCTGCTGCTGCTGCTGCTGAGCATTGTCTGCTGCTGCTGTAGCATCGTCTGCTGCTGCTGTAGCCATCGTCTGTTGCTGCTGTACCACCGTCAGCTGCTGCTGCTGCTGTAGCACCGTTGTTGGTGTGGCTTATTGAGAATACCAAGAAACAATTAACCCAGAGGATTTGCCACCCAGGATAACCCAAAAAAGTCAGTGTCATCGAAAGACTGTCTAACTTATTTCCATTGGGGTCCTTAATCTTGTCTCCCAGGATGCAACCCACACAAGTCGACTAACACCCAGGTGAACAGGGGAAAAATGCCTGGAACTAGTGCTCATATTGGTGAATTTAAAGCCAGCAAAGGTTGGTTTGAGAGATTTAAGAATCGTAGTGGCATACACAGTGTGATAAGGCATGTTCTGGAAGAAAATGCCAACAGGACCTACAGTACTCAGGAGGAAAAGGCACTCCCAGGACACAGTGTCTCATCAGTCATTGCTGCATCTTCAATAAAGGTAAGTGTCATTTATTCTTCATTTAGTAGACTAGTACATGCACAATATATACTGTGCATGTACTACTCTACTATTGTGCATGTATCCTTCTCTTTGTGTGTAGGAAAATGTATATTTCATGTGGTAAAATTTTTTTTTTCATACTTTTGGGTGTCTTGCACGGATTAATTTGATTTCCATTATTTCTATGGGGAAAATTCATTCGCATACCGATTATTTCGCATAACAATGACCCCTCTTGCACGGATTAAAATCGGTATGCGGGGGTCCACTGTATTGGGTAGTTGAAACAGTTGAATGGGCAGTTTCTCATGCTTAGTAGATAGAATGGAAGACGTTCTAGTGAAATAGCAAAGAATTTGGTCGACTGGAATAATGGAGAATGACCTAAGAAAGGCCTCAAAGTGAGCGAAATCGTCGGTGCGTAAATATCACCAAGACGGCTAACTTTGCACCAGCGTAATTCGCTAAGTTTTCCATCAAGTTTCATACCATTGGTGTCGTTGCCCTCACAGAAACATTGTTTACCATTTCGTAAGAATTTTTTTTTTTGTGAAATTTGCCCCCTGATCAGCTGTGGTTGATGACTTGTAAATTTACAGAATTTACATTAATTTTTTGTAGGAATTAGTTATGAATTTATATTTAATGAAATATGTATTTTTTACAACAAAATCACATTATTTACAGAAATGTACATAATTTATAAAAATTTACAGGAATTTACATAATTTACAAAAAAATTACATAGTTTACAATTTACATAATTTACAAAAATTTACAAAATTTACAAAAAATTAACTAAAAATATAAATAATTTACATAATTGTTCATTATTGTGTCAGACTATATAGAAATTCCTCCACTTCCTCACATCAGACCTCATTATCACCCACCCACCCCCAGGGTAGTGTGTAACCCCATACGTGTTTAGTGCTCTCCCACGGCCTCACTCTAACACCTGGTTCTCTTGTTCTTGGGTGAACAACAGTAGAGTCGTTGTTCACCCCAGAGGAGAACACTCAGCTGGACGACCTGGTGGCGCTGACCTTCCGGGAGACCTCGTCACATGTGCTAGAGGAGATCCTAGCCAGACACAAGCTCCTGGACCACCTCAGAGCACTGCGACGATACTTACTGCTAGGCCAGGGTGACTTTATCAACTACCTTATGCAAATACTCAAGTAAGTATACTGTAGTATACTCAGGTATGTATACTCAGAGTATGATGCTTATTACTACTACTGGACTGGTATTTCTTGATAGCTCATTACTGTACTGCCCCGCTTATACAGCATGTTAGGTTCTGGGTTACTGTAGAGCCCCGCTTATACATCAGGTTAGGTTCTGGGTTACTGTAGAGCCCCGCTTATACATCAGGTTAGGTTCTGGGTTACTCTAGGGCCCTGATTATACATCAGGTTAGGTTCTGAGCTACTGTAGGGCCCTGCTTATACAGCAGGTTAGGTTTTGGGTTACTGTAGGGCCCCGCATATACATCAGGTTAGGTTCTGGGTTTCTCTAGGGTCTGCTTACATCAGATTGGTTCTGGTGTAACTCATTGGCCCTGCTTATTACATCAGGTTAGGTTCTGAGCTGCTGTAGGGCCCTGCTTATACAGCAGGCTAGGTTCTGAGCTACTGTAAGGCCCCACTTATACAGCAGGTTAGGTACCCCTGGCTGGGTACATCAGCCAGGGGTGAGCTCACATTTGTCCACCTGGCTGGCTGGGTGACCCACACATACCCTGGTTGTAACTACTACTCCTCCCACCACCTTCGGCTTCCACCCTTCCAGTCTAACTTCTTCCCATCGTACAGTAAGTCGTCACTTAACATCGTCAATGGCTCCTTGGAAACTACCACCTTAGGTGAAACGACATAACGAAACCAATTTTACCATAGACTAATTGATATAAACACGAGTTAAGTTGCTATGGCAAGGTACAGCCAAAAGGCAGAGCAGTAGTGCTGCAGACACCATGACTATGGTTGCTCTAGGGTTCTCTTGACACCATGACTATGGAGTATGTCGCTCTAGGGTGCTGTCAAGTCCTATATTTATTCTATTATTGACATTATTATTTTAGCTATTGCATATTTTTCAGAATTATCTAATAAACATGTTACACATAAAAAAAAGCACAGTGCAACCTGGGTTTTTGTATGCCGTAGTCTGTATGTAAAACTATAGTTATTCTCTATAAAATGTATTTTTTGTTAACTCTTTTACTGTCACAAGCCCCTTTCTGAAACTGTCATTCTGTGTTGCAAAATTTTTGGGAATTTTTTTTTTTTTCTTATGAAATGATAGAGAATCTTTTCCCGTTGATAATGACACCAAAAGTACAAAATTTGGTCGAAAACTCACAGAATTACGCTCCCGCAAAGTTAGCAGTCTTGGCGACATATACACATCGGCGATTTTGCTGACTTTGAGCCCTGTTTTTGGCCAATTCCGTTGTTCCAGTTGACCAAACTCACAGCTATTTCTTTAGTACTCCATTTTTTTTCTGTCAGTTGAGTACAAGAAACCGCCCATTTACCGATTTCAACTACCCAATAAAGTGGTCAGAAATTGGCAATTTGGCCAATTTCACACAAATTAAAAAAGATGCCAATTTCAAAATAGGGTCCAGAATAAACAAGGTAGACATTCTTGGCACTAAAATAACATATCCTCTGTTCATTAGTCACATTTCCAGGCCCCTCTTATATTACTATTGCTTTCTATTTTGATTTTTTATTCATACAAAAAATACAAAATTTACTGTTATGCAGACAACTGCATTATTTTAAAAATGGTATAAATAATATCAGTGCACTAGTGAAAGAATATTAGACTCCCCAGTTGACGTGTATTGGACGTGTGGTGTGATTTGCTTACTCCTGAACATTGGTAAAAATTGACCATTTCCGCTATTTTGAGCTCAATTTCAAGGTCATTTTTATCATGAAACTAATCAAAATCATCTCTATTTCTGTAATATGTTTTCCATTTTATCACTTGAGACCAAGAAAACAAGAATACAACCATAAATACTATACGAAAATACACCTCAAAGTCGGCGTTTTAATAAAAAAAAAAAAATTCTCATTATGCACTGCGTGCTGCAGGATTTTTTTTTATGTGGTGCACACTGACCACACAGACCCATTCTCTCACATGTGGGCCTACCAGCTTTCTCCTGCTTGATTTGAAGCTGCTGGAATTTATGCGTATTAATACATCCAAAACACTGGCTCGTAAGACGTATATATACGACCAAAACAGTCAAAGGGTTAATATTTTTGGGTGTCTGGAATGGATTAATTGGATTTACATTATTTCTTATGGAAAATATTAACAAAAAATACATTTTAGAGAAAATAGTTTTACATACAGACAAGGGCATACAAAAACCCAGGTCTACTGTAGAAAACCAATTAGGGAAGAAATTAATAAAAGCGAAGATAAAGTTTGCTAAAGATTACACCCCCTCCAGAATTTGCCCTTCCATTTTTCCTTTCCGGGCCCGGGAATTGCTTTTTTCTCGTCATTGTTAAATAAAAAAAGGTTAAGGAGGACTTCCTGTACCTTTTGTTAATTATGGGAACTACCTCGACTGCACTACCCCAATCATACTCAAGCTCAGCTGGGACCGCCCAAAAGGTCTTGGGATTTTGAGGTTCCCCTTAAAAATGATGATTGTAGCAGATAAAAAGTTAATACATAATTTTATTATTGTTAGTTTTTACCATTATTTTATTTTTGTAATTGTTGTTCTGTTATTATTCTATTTTAATTTTTTATTTTTAGTTACAAATTAATTGCTCTTTTTTTTATTTTATTATTATCAGTATTTATAAAATATTTTTATTATTTTACCATTTATTATTTTTGTTATTATATTTTTATTTTACTATTATCTTATTACTATTTTGATCATTGCAGTGTAGAGTTGTGCAAGCCGGCCAAAACCCGTACCCCCCAATTGTTTTGTTAAGAAACCCTGGCGCTACAACGCCCGACAGGGAACCCCGGAAAATACTACAACGTTGAGTGGCCTCTTAAGGTTCCCCCGGTGACCTGGGCTGGGTGTCTTCATTGGACTACCATTTATTGGTTCCCATTGGCATGTAATGGTCGTCGCCCCCGTTTGGGGAATGTAAGTGGTCTAAGTCCCTGTATGGCTTTGTAAGTGGTTGTCAATCATTGATTGGGACGTAAGTGGTTGTCAGTCACTGTTGGTACTGCAAGTGGTCGCAGTCCCCTGTATTGGGACTGAAGTGGTCTCAGCACCTTTTTTGACACGTAAAATGGGTTTTCAGTCATGTTGAGTTTAACCCGCCTTTCTTGGGGCCCGTAGGCTTACTGTATATGATTTCTTGTCTTAAGAACATACGTAGGCCTAATGTAGGATGATCACTGAAAATGTACAGTGGTACCCCGAGTTTCGTACAGCTACCAACTCGAACAATTTTGTAAGTGTATTTTTGGGGGTCTGAAATAGACTAATCTAATTTACATTATTCCTTATGGGAACAAATTCGTTCGGTATCGGCACTCGAACAGCCTTCTGGAACGAATTAAGTTCGTAACTTGAGGTACCACCGTATTAGTATTACACTGTTGTTGCAGGTGTTCACTGCAGAGTGCATGCAACAGTACCTAATGTTGTTCAACGCTCTCTGGAAGGACAAGAGGATGGAGATGATACTCTCTGACATCTGGAGGGAACAAGCAGCCACCTCCAAGCTCTGTAGAGAGCTTCCAGGTCAGTAGAAAGCTTCCGGGTCAATGTAGAGAGCTACCAGGTCAGTGTAGTGGGCTACCAGGTCAGTAGAGAGCTACCAGGTCAGTAGAGAGCTACCATTTCAGAAGAGAGCTTCCAGGTCAGTGTAGGGAGCTACCAGGTCAGTGTAGAGAGCATCCAGGTCTGTAGGGAGCTACCAGGTCAGTAGAGAGCTATCAGGTCAGTAGAGAGCTTCCAGGTCAGTGTAGAGAGCTACCAGGTCAGTGTAAAGAGCTACCGGGTCAGTGTAGAGCTTTATCAATCACACTGTGTTCTGTAGGGGCAGTCTACTGAGTGACAGTGTTCAGGTTCTGGACACTACTGAGCCTACTCACATATATATGTGAGCCTACTCACCTATATATGTGAGCCTACTCACCTATATATGTGAGCCTACTCACCTATATATGTGAGCCTACTCACCTATATATGTGAGCCTACTCACATATATGTAGCCTACTCACCTATATATGTGAGCCTACTCACCTTATATGTAGCCTACTCACCTATATATTGACCCTATCACCTATATAGTGAGCCTACTCACCTATATATGTGAGCCTACTCACCTAATATGAGCCTACTCACATATACGTGAGCGTACTCACATATATATGTGAGCCTACTCACATATATAGTGACATATTTGACCTGTCCCCTGGATTTAATATATATATGATGCCTGACTCTGTCACAGTTTATGATTATCTAACTGATCACTTCCCTAGACTCACAGTTGTCACTCTTGATCCTCCAGCAGTCAAGGGGCTAAATATAGTAAGCCTACTGTATTTAACTCCACTACTGCTGCAGTAGGCCTACTGTATTTAGTTTGTTAACCCAGGACACATAATTTCATCAAGTACATTGATCACTGGTATAACAAGTACCAGCCCACTGGTATAACAAGTAACCCACTGGTAAAACAAACCACCACTGTTAACAAGTACCATGCCCACTGGTATAACAAGTACCAGCCCACTGGTATAACAAGTACCAGCCCACTGGTATAACAAGTACCAGCCCACTGGTATAACAAGTACCAGCCCACTGGTATAACAAGTACCAGCCCACTGGTATAACAAGTACCAGCCCACTGGTACTCAAAAATTCAGTGATTTAATTGCCACCATTGAGAGAACTTATTCACAGATCAAGTGAACAGTAAATGCACACATAGGAGAGAGGAACTCATGACGAGGTTTTGGTCCAGCTTGATTCATTTACAAAGTCACAGTGACTTTGTAAATGTTCCAAGTTAGACCGAAACCTCATCATGATTGTCTCTCTCCTATGTGCGGGTTATTGGTGTATTGTTCCAGTTCGGTATTGTGCTTTTATATTATTCATTAAGTGAACAGAAAAAGGACATAAATTTTCCACCATAAATAGCAACAAATATCATTGTAAATTCTCCATGGGGAAGTGGAACAGAATTCTTCCTCCGTAAGCCATGCGTGTTGTAAGAGGCGACTAAAATGCTGGGAGCAAGGAGCTAGTAACCTCTTCTCCTGTATATATTACTAAATGTAAAAGGAGAAACTTCCGTTTTTCCTTTTGGGCCACCCCGCCTCGGTGGGATACGGCCGGTGTGTTGAAAGAAAGAAAGATCATTGTAAATACTACAATGATCCACAATTACACAATTTAACACATGTAGCAGCTAGGAGGATTGGTACAGTGTACTGTGAATGTTGTACTCCAGACCTGCTCAGAATCTTCCAAGTTGCACTAACAAATGCAACGAATAGAAAGCTGAAGGCAACAGGAATGAGAACAATTTGTTAGTGGGTTAAATGTGCCTACTCGTCTTAAGTTTGGCCTAGAAAGGTATAAATATAATAACAAGGAAAAAGACTAGTACAGCCCCTCCTCACTTAGCGATGTAGTCGTTTACCGACTGCTCAGACTTATGACCAGCTCTCCAACCAGTATGCAAACCCAGGTTTTGTATATTACAGCTGATTTCCTCTGTTCTGTTTATTTGGGAGCTGACTTGTCAGTGGATGGGTTTATGAAGGATGAGGTTGACCTAGAATTGATGAAGGAAAAAAGGTGAGTGGTGCGTTGAGGTATATGTGGAGACAAACAACATTATCTATGGAGGCAAAGAAAGGAATGTATGAAAATATAGTAGTACCAACACTTTTATATGGGTGTGAAGCTTGGGTTGTAAATGCTGCAATGAGGAGACGGTTGGAGGCAGTGGAGATGTCCTGTCTAAGGGCAATGTGTGGTGTAAATATTATGCAGAAAATTCAGAGTGTGGAAATTAGGAGGTGTGGAGTTAATAAAAGTATTAATCATAGGGCTGAAGAGGGGTTGTTGAGGTGGTTTGGTCATTTAGAGAGAATGGATCAAAGTAGAATGACTTGAAGAGTGTATAAATCTGTAGGGAAAGGAAGGCGGGGTAGGGGTCATCCTCAACAAGGTTGGAGGGAGGGGGGTAAAGGAGGTTTTGTGGGCGAGGGGCTTGGACTTCCAGCAAGCATGTGTGAGCGTGTTAGGAGTGAATGGAGACAAATTGTTTTTGGGACCTGATGAGCTGTTGGAGTGTAAGCAGAGTAATATTTTGTGAAGGGATTCAGGGAAACCAGTTAGCCTGACTTGAGTCCTGGAAATGGGAAGTACAATGCCTGCACTTCAAAGGAAGGGTTTGGGATATTAGCAGTTTGGAGGGATATGTTGTGTATCTTTATACGTACAGTATATGCTTCTAAACTGTTGTATTCTGAGCACCTCTGCAAAAACAGTGATAATGTGTGAGTGTGGTGAAAGTGTTGAATGATGATGAAAGTATTTTCTTTTTTGGGATTTTCTTTCTTTTTGGGTCACCCTGCCTCGGTGGGTCACCCTGCCTCGGTGGGTCACCCTGCCTCGGTGGGTCACCCTGCCTCGGTGGGTCACCCTGCCTCGGTGGGTCACCCTGCCTCGGTGGGTCACCCTGCCTCGGTGGGTCACCCCGCCTCGGTGGGTCACCCTGCCTCGGTGGGTCACCCTGCCTCGGTGGGCCACCCTGCCTCGGTGGGTCACCCTGCCTCGGTGGGTCACACTGCCTCGGTGGGTCACCCTGCCTCGGTGGGTCACCCTGCCTCGGTGGGTCACACTGCCTCGGTGGGTCACCCTGCCTCGGTGGGTCACACTGCCTCGGTGGGTCACCCTGCCCCGGTGGGTCACACTGCCTCGGTGGGTCACCCTGCCTCGGTGGGTCACCCTGCCTCGGTGGGTCACCCTGCCTCGGTGGGTCACCCTGCCCCGGTGGGTCACACTGCCTCGGTGGGTCACACTGCCTCGGTGGGAGACGGCTAACATGTTAAAAAAAAATAGTCAACTACTGTATAAACATTTAAAATTATACTAAAAATGTTATAAATGGTGCAAAAGTGACATTAAAAAATGTCTAAAGATGGCTGACACAAACCATTATAATACACTTCTTGCTTAACCCTTTGAAGGTCGGTCACGTACATGTACATACGTCATAACAGCAGGGGTCAGTCACGTACTTATACACGTAAATTCTAGCGGCTTCAAATCGAGCGGGAAAAAGCTGATACTCCTACATGTGAGAGAATGGGTCTGCACGGTCAGTGTGCGCAGAATAAAAAAAATTGTGGAGCCAGTGGTGCATTGTAGGAATGCCATTTCAGTACACCTTTTCTACTATGCCCCGCGGTAAGAAACTCCTCACTTCCCAGCGAATTGAGACTCACATTTTCCCAAGTGACAGTTCTAACACAGATGGAAGTGTCAGTGAAGATGAATTTCATGGTTTTGAGGAGTTTGTGGCAGAAAGCAATGCCCAGGAAACCAGAAGGAACGAAGGAGGGAAGGTAGGTACGAAGGAGGGAAGGTAGGTACGAAGGAGGGAAGGTAGGTACGAAGGAGGGAAGGTAGGTACGAAGGAAGGAAGGAGGGAAGGTAGGTACGAAGGAGGGAAGGTAGGTACGAAGGAGGGAAGGTAGGTACGAAGGAAGGATGACCAAGACAACCATCATCCTAGGATAACCCAAAAAGTCAGACAGTGACTTACTTCTGTGTGAGTTGGTGTGGTGGGAAGGAAGGGATGTGTGTTGTGGAAGGCAGTGAGGGTTAGTGAGTGGTGGTATAATGCGTCTTTACGACACAAGACACGCCTGTGACTCAGCATATTTACAAGGGGGGAAGGTAGGTAGGAAGGATGAGAGTAACACTGTACATGGTATTAGAATATTAAGAAATGAAGCAGGCACTGTCACTATGAATATTACTATATGTCTAGAAATACACACACATCTAAATGGATTATAAAAACTTACAATTATCATAAGTCTTATAACTTGCATGAACTGTATCACTGTAGACAACAAAAAGCATTTCACCCCTCCATGGATGCAGCATTTCACCCCTCCATGGATGCAGCATTTCACCCCTCCATGGATGCAGCATTTCACCCCTCCATGGATGCAGCATTTCACTCCTCCATGGATGCAGCATTTCACCCCTCCATGGATGCAGCATTTCACCCCTCCATGGATGCAGCATTTCACTCCTCCATGGATACAGCATTTCACCCCTCCATGGATACAGCATTTCACCCCTCCATGGATGCAGCATTTCACCCCTCCATGGATGCAGCATTTCACCCCTCCATGGATGCAACATTTCACCCCTCCATGGATGCAACATTTTACCCCTCCATGGAAGATGTGTTCATTTAATATCATATTTAATATCCCAAGAAGATCATCACTAGTAATACCTTTTGGCAGTGTGATGTAGTAGCCTGGCTTAGGCTTGGTTACAAGTACTTCTGGCAGTGTGATGTTGTAGTAGCCTGGCTTAGGCTTGGTTACAAGTACTTCTGACAGTGTGATGTTGTAGTAGCCTGGCTTAGGCTTGGTTACAAGCACTTCTGACAGTGTGATGATGTAGTAGCCTGGCTTAGGCTTGGTTACAAGTACTTCTGGCAGTGTGATGTTGTAGTAGCCTGGCTTAGGCTT